ACTGCCTCCTCTGTGCAATTCTTCCCTCTGCTGACCCCAAACTGCTGCACTCAGTGCACATGGCCAGGAGAGACATCCTGGTGCAGGAGCGAGCGACGGCAGCCTCCAGCACATGAGACCAAATCCTTGCTGCACCAGCTCACCTGGTAAGCTTTGTCACAGATCTCACAGCTAAAGGGCTTTCCCCCAACGTGGGTCACCATGTGGCGCTCCAGGAGTGATGGGGCGCTGAAGACTTTAGAACAGGTAGGGCAGGGATGGTACTCCCGGGAATGGGCTTCGTGGACATGCTTGCGGTGCTCCTGCAGGGTGGAAAAGCTCATACGGCACTTCTTGCAGTCATAGGGATCTTCTATGCCTGCTGCCCAGAAACGCAACAAAAACCACAGGAGGGCAAAGAAATCAAGGGAAAAAAAAGAAAATAATTAAGAGGGGAATTCACAGAGGGAAGAAAGAAAAGGGAAAGAAATGCTTGTTACTTCCCAGATGAAAACTAGCTCTGGAGTTTTGGCTTTGCATACAGATGTTGCTGCTCCTGCTCACCTACAGCTTCCTGTGGTGGGTTCCCAGCAGCTTGCATTTTGCTGGAAGCCACTCCTGCCATTTTCTTTGGGATAACACTACTCATAGCATCAAACTGCTAAAGAGTCTTGCTTTCCTTGGGAGGGAAAAAATCCCAACACGAGACACCCATAACACCTGCACAAGCCTCCACTGGCACAGATGCGTCTGCCATAACCCCACAGAAGCCATGCCTCGCAGGCTGGGCTGCCCCAGCTGGGGAGGCAGCTGGCCACACTCACTGTGGAAGGTCCGGAGGTGGATGGAGAGCCCGTTGGCCTGGCGAAAGCCTTTCCCACACTCCCGGCAGACATACGGCTTGTCCCCTGTGTGAGTCCGAACATGGCGTGACAGTTCGATGGACTGGGCGAAAACAGCATCGCAGTACTGACAGGCGTACATCTTCCCTGCAGTGACACCCAGGGTAAGAACCTACACCTAACGGGATGGGAGCTCTGTCTGAACTATGCCTAATTTCAAAGGGAGAGGGAAGAGACTGTAAAGTGGACAGGTGTTCCAGGGGTAGCCAGAGCATCTCAGCACAGGGTCAAAAAGGTCCTAGAGGTGCTGGAGAAAACCACACCTGCACAGGGAGTATTAAATTACTACAGATCTCACATATCCAGTGGTACTACACACTTCTAGAGGCACTACACGCTGGTCTGTCTCATGTTCAAAATTAATCGCCCAACTGCACCACACTCGTGCAACAGTCAGAAATACACATGAGCGTATCTATTGCACGCACAGCTATGCATTCTCTGTGCCCGTGAGCTGGAAGGGGCATGCCTAAGCCCCAGTAGTGCATGGGACTGAGTGCAGGGGCAGGAGAAGCACTGGTACGAAAAACTGTGTGAAATTCAGCCATGGGGAGGGACGGGAGAAAGCAGATTAACCAGAGAAGAGCACGCATCGCAGGAGTCTAGATGCGAGGGGACAGAGTGGAGCTACTCAGGAGAAAAACAAGGAAGGTGGAAGAGGAAGATCCCCTTAATGGAGAGTAAACTGCTAACTGGATGGCTAATTGGAGGACCTGGAGAAGGGGATGGGGGAAAGGTAGAGTGAAGAACTGAGGGCAAAACCATGTGGGTGAAGGAGATCTGGGAGAAGCCTGCTGCCCAGGGCTCCCCCAAAGGATGGGGAAGCAGCCAGGAGGTGGATGGAGGAACAGGGCACAAAGGGGAGGATGGAGCAAGCTAAGCCCATGGCCAGGCTCCCATGAGGAATGCTCACCCTCAGCATGCTGCTTCTTCGTGTGGTAGGCAAGGGCCGAGGCCTGCATGAAGGTCATCAGGCAACGCTTGCACACGAAGGGCCGGTCCCCCGTGTGCAGCCGCAGGTGGTTCTTCAGTGTGGAGTTGGCCGCGAACTTGGCCCCGCACTCCTCACAGGAGAAGGGCTTCTCATCAAAGTGCTCCGTCAGCTTGTGGTACTGCATCCCTGGGGTGGCAGGCAGGAGACCGAGATGGCATTGGCAAGACCCACTGCCAGCCCTACCTGGCCGTGCTGGAGAGGCACCCCTACACCCAGCCCAGACATCCACGAGCCCACCTGCAACACCGGGGGTCCACTGGTGTTCTTTGGCCCAGAGGTCCACCAGAATACTGTGAGCTGCCACAGGAAGGGCAAAGAGACTCAAATCCTCTTACTCGTCCTGCTAAACCAGCCACAGAACTGGAACAGCTTGATTATTTTTGGAGGCTTTTAAATTTGCCAGTAGCCCCACTTTTCCTTGATGAGCCATGTGGAAAACCAATTAGGGAAGAACTAATGAGAAAGCAGTTGTGCTCAGTGGGGCAGGAGAAATGAGCCGAGCTGTGTTTCTCACACACAGTGCTCACAGAGCTGCAGGGAGGAGGAGGAGGAGGAGATTTCAGACTATCATTTTCTTATATTGTCCAGACTTCTGTCCAAACACCCTTGCTCCCACCAAACCTACCTGAGGCATGAGCAAACTCTCGGCCACAGATGTTACATGCCACAGGGAGACGCTTCTTCTTCTTCTTGGCCGTCCCCACCACCCCATGGACCTCCAGCTGATGCTTCTCCAGCTCCTTCTGTGTTGATTTGACCTCGCTGCACTCCTTACACTGGATTTGCTTTCCTCTGGCCATCCGACAACGTTTCATGTGCACCTTCAGGCGGCAGCAGAAGTGAAAGGTCTTATTGCAGGCTTTGCAGACAAAACTCTTCTTGGAAGAAGCTTTTTCTTGGGGTTCCTTCAGCTCCTTGGCACCAGCACCTCCTGGCTTGTCCTCATCTTTGTCCAGAGCTTCAACTTGGGATTCACTGTTCACCTTCCACTTCCTGATCCCAGGTTTCTCCCCACTTCCCTCAGTCAAGAGACCTACAGAAATCACAATTCCTGTTTCAGTGGTGACCACTGGGACTGGGCACCAGCCCCTCGATATCCCATCTCCTGAATGGCTCCTACACAGAAAGTTGTCCCTGCACAGCAATAACAGACACACATCGGACATGCTGTCCCATCACAACAGTGGCACATGGCTCTGCCCAAAAGTGGCTGTGGCCATGCATGGTACAGTGTATGAAAGAGCGGTCCTTGAATTTCTCCACCCACACATACTGAGGGCTGGATGACATGGCAAGAGCCACAGCCAGATTTTTGAAAAAGCTTGCTCCTCAAATAGCAACAACTGTTGCTTCCAAGCATCTGCCTCCTGTTCAGACATGTGAAGTTACAGTAATGCTTAAATGTTTGAAGATATGAGCCTCAGGTACGATACTGTCTTAGTCTGCCATTGAGAGTGGATATCCAGCCATTAATTAGAAGAAATCTCAGGAACACTTCCCAAACGCAAACTCTTTGAAAGAGAACAGATAATCTTGATACGACCCTTTTGAGTCTTCTGGTTAGGGCCCTGAGGTATTTTAAATCGCTCGTTACATTCATTTCTTACAAAGTCTAATGCTTTTCTGAGTCCCTGTAACACCATCATCTCAAAAAGCAAAAGCTGGAAAATTCACCTAGGATCTCAATCTACAGAAAAGACCCACAGGGAATGTACGTATGGAAGAAATCAAAATACAAACAGATATATTTGGCTTCTTTGCTATAATGAGAACCATGCAACTGTGTGGCCATGGAAACCAGTGCAGACTTCTCCTTTTGCCAATGCACAGGAAACTCAGCCTGTGCTTGGAAAACTTAAATTCTGCCTTCCTCAGCATGGGAAGAGCTCAGCAAAGCATCCTCCCTGCATAGCGCTACTGCCCCGTATTTCCAAACAAATAGAAACCAGATCATATATTCCAACAGACTTGGAGATCTTAAGATGTCAAGTGGTGACCCACTGACCTGTGAACACATCAAAGGAAAAAAACAGACTGGAAGACTGGTTTCCAATTTGTCCTGCTCTGTCAAGATAGCAATACACACTTTTCACCTGTAAGGTCTCTTCCCACATCCCTACAACCAACACTGTCAGTTTTTCTGACCCAAGTGAAGAAGTATCTTTAAATCTACCAGAAATGCTGAACATCAAAAAAAAGTCATCTTGCTGGTCAGGATGAATGTGGATGAAGATAAGAGCACTAAGAAAACCAGGACTGCAAATGTCTAGAAGGCAGCAATCCTCCTCTGGACACTTCATACAGAATATGTGCTTTTGCCAAGTAAATACCATTTTTCCACAGCTCTTCTTTTTGATGTTGCTCCTTGCTTGATTTCATCTCAACTTTGGCTTGAAGCCCTGCAAGGAGACTTGGTAACAGCAGTCTGCTCTCTTTGATATTGGTGCCAGAGAAGCAGGCATCTGCCAAAGCAATCTAGCTGACTCCCCAAGTGCCTCGCTGGTAAGCACTGCAAGGTGTCAAGGAGCTAAGGTGGGCTGCACATTCACAGGGACACACGATTGTTGCTGGCTTACTGCAGCATCAGAAGACGACATAGAAGGAATGGCAGATAAGAAGGAACCACCTTTTCTCTGGAAATCCTCATCAGAGCCATGACCAGGTAAAAAAGCCAACTGGATTGGTAGCAGCTCTTGGTGGAGTTAGGAGAGAGGATCTAGATCTGAACTGGGCATGAATACCGGATCTACAGCGTAAGACATCTCTCAGGGAGACCACTATGCCACTGAGTCAAGAAAGGGGAGCAGAGTACATGCTATCACCCTCTGAGCCCTACAGCTAGAGCAGTAATCCAGATCCTCCATTTCTTCTACACGTGCACTGCTCCCAGTCAACCTGTCCCATCTACCACCCTAACAACGTTTCCTCATTGCTCCAGAACGCAGGCAAGCTAACAAACCTAGGGGTAGGTCACTCTCTGCCCCTTCCCAGCACACATGAGCCCTGAGCCAAGTTTTCAGACAAAGCAATTAAATCTCCTACCCCTAAAAAAGAGACATTAATAACAAGCTGCTTACTCTACCTACCCAGCAATCTGCTAGTATTTCCGCACTGCGCTGTAAGATAAGCAGCTCTGGCACCACAAGGAAATAGGTATGGATTGAGCTGAACCAGTGACTGTGCTTGGATAAAAAAAAAAAAAAAAAAAAATAATCACACTGTGTACATCCCAGTGGACTCTGCTGCCCAAAGAATCTCAATGCTCTGGGAAACACGATGCCATAAAAATGTATGTGAGAAAACAGAATAAGCAAGTTCACATTTGCATCCTTTTCAAACCTGCAGTTAGCTTCCTGGCCCTCATCTTTTTCATTAAAGCACCAAATTCTGTTAAGCATTCTTCCTTCAAACGACGGATGCAGAGATACAATTCAGCTCAGCTGGAAAGCATCCCACAGCTCAGGGCAGGGTCTCACACATGGTTACTGCTATGCACTTATTTCTGGAGTTCACCAAATTGCTATCTGCATATGTTTCATTCATACCTTTGCCAAACTAGTACTGTATGTAACATTCCCCTACTGCTGTGGGACCTTCCCAGGGGATCATTTGCTCTGTAAAGTGTATACATAGCAAGACCAAATTAAGGCACTATAAGAAAATTAACTCAGAAAATAGTCTGGGACTACAAACTGCAGTATCACGGTCATCTTTGCACAAGGCAAGTGTGCTCTGATGTGACCTCTCCACAATCTGCCTGTGAAGTATCCATACATACAATATAAAGTCAAGGGACTCTAATACCAGTTCAAATTCATACAGATCCAACAGTACACGAAGACCCAAAGAAACTCCACAGCTTAAGGATAGTAATTCTGAAAAATAAGCCAACGTAGACACAAATTATGTAACTAAGTTGCTTAAATGCCTCCAGAGCAAGGGCAGGGGTAGTTAAGGAATATCAGTATGGGGTCACTTACGGTCTCCGCAACCCTCAAAACGTACAAAATTTTAATATGGTGCATTTTACCAGCAGGAGAAATGCACACTCCAGTGCTTGCATCCAGAGGTCACCCCTGCGAATCTTCCCGCTAGTACAACCCCAACATCTGGCCAGGGGTAGTTCTGTGAAATGTCCTCAGGCTACCAAGACACTGAGGTCCACCACCAAATTGCCCAAGACTCCCATAACTGTGTGTAAAAGACCACAGAAGGATGAAAGCCTGTGCTTTTCTTACCCACATGCCCCAGCTCCTGCATCACTGGCTGCAGGTCTGGGAAGGACTCATGGACATTGCACAGCAGCTGACAGATCTTGATGGCTGGGACAGACTTCTCCCGGGCTGTGCTCAGAGCTGCTTTCAAGGAGGCCTCTGAACTTTCCTTCTGAGCAGAAATACTTAGTAGCTGGAGAAGTAAGAAGAAGAAAACATCACATGACAGAGATTTTGGGCTCTGAAAGGTCGGGATCGTCTGGGAGTAAGGGCACATCCTCCATGTTTCATCTCTACTGCTGGGAACCTGCTTTGAGAAACCAGAAGTAAATCCCTTTCCATACAGGTCTTTGCCCCTCCACCAATGGGTGTGCATGAGCTGAGAAAATTTCAGGATTATAAAAAAGTTACAACAAATTAAATTCTCAGACTTTGTTTTGGTATTAGCTCACTTGAAACCATCTTTCCATGGAAAAAGTAGTTCCTCAATGCCTTCCAGCATTACAAGCTTACCTAACTCATAAACCTGTGTTTCATAACACAACTCTCTGGGCTTTTCTCTCCCTCCCAAATCCAAAACTGCTTCAGCCAGCCACTGCAAGGAGAACGAAGGTGAGGATCTGTGCATGCTCGTACGTACCTCACCCTTCCAGATCTCCAGCAGCAGCTAACCAGAGCAGGAATGAGCAACGACAGACTGCTTGGTGGAAAAGGCCAGCTCGTTACTAACTAATGCAGCCCATTTTCCTTGTCAAAGGGAAAACAGGGAAGGCACTCTGGGATGCTACACAATCGTGGCATCCTCAGTGCATTTTCTAGGAGTGTTTCATTTTCCTATGTCCTGGAACAGCCAACTCAAATGGAAACCCACTCCCTGGCAGCTCTGCTTTCTCTAGGACTTCAGCACTCTTGCAGAGCTGAAACAGTTTTGCTGTGTTTGAACACCCACATTTTCACCAACTGAGAATCTTACCAGCAATTTTTACGTGAAACCTCCTGCAGAATTTATATAAAACACCCACAACAACACTCTCACTTCAGCAGAGGGGCACCTCCAACTTTGGGTGGCTTCCCCAACCTAAGTAATGTCCCTTGATATCAGTGCACGCTAGGGCCTGTCCACCCTTTGAGCCCTGAACCATGCCTGTTCTGAGCGCATCTCCTCGTACCTCTTTTACTGCTTCTGAGAGTCCTGCCTCTCCTGGAGCCAAGCCCTCCAAGTTCGTTCTCTGCTGAATGGCCTCTGAGATCAGTTTGCTGTGCCGCAGGATGATTTCAATGGCTGTGCTCTCGCTGGTGGCCACTGAAGATAACAATAAAAAGTACAGGTATTTAAAAACACAAAACCCAAGGAGAATCAGAAGGCCTTGGCTTCGCTTAGATTTGTCCAGCCCACTCCTGAAGCTGAGCTGTGAACAGCAGGAGTGACTTCTTTAGGGCATAGGAAACAGCAAACAACTACAGGCAAGCTTTGTTTACACTAACTGCAGCACTGACATCCAGCATAAAACCCTAGCAGACCTCACCTCTCACTGCTTGTCCAACTTTAGGTGAGAAGACCAGGTTTTCCAAGTCATGTTGCTGAAAGAGACAGTGACAACCTCGAAAGGCAGGGACGGTTCTCCCAGGACTCAGGATTTCTTCTCTCCCCCAGTTACATACATCCCATTCTGACTTTTGTAGAGAAACAGGCATCTCTAGGCACAATTTGCCTCATCCAAGGACAGCCACATAAAACACGGCCAGACGCACCACACGCCAGAAGTGCTGGGCTGAGCACAGAGGGGATGGAGGAGAGGAGTTTGGATGGAGGCAGCTACTCCGCAGGTATCTGACTGCAGGCAGGTGAACCCCAGCTTTGCACCCACACGGCCAGCACAAACAGCCGGGCTCTGCACAGACAATCTCTCCTGCCCCACAAGACCACCAACCTGAGCGCTCCTCACACTTGCATGACATTTTGACAATGATTTTGGGGGAAAGGCACAGTTTAGGCTTTAAAGTAGGAAAACTCTAAGCCAGAGGCCAAGGCTCTGAGGAGGACAGGGTGGTCGCTGCACAGAGACTTCCGATGAAACCCGTGCTTTCGGTCTGATGGGCCTCCAAATGGTTATTGGCGCAGGATGGTGGCCAGCTCTCAAAAGCTTTGCTCATTACAAAACCTGAAGGCACAGAGCCACAAACGAAGCAGCCGCGTTTGCAGACCAAAGTGCTTTACCAACCAATTGACTGTTTCACTGAGGACACGGGTGGTGAGACCCATGGGAAGAAAAGAAGTTCCCGGACAGGGAGAGGGCAAGGAGTTAGAAAGCAGCTCCTGCCAGCAGCGGGAGAAGTTGAGGGAGAGTGTGGGGGGACACCAAGGCCTTTACCTGCTTGGAAGAAAAACTCTGCGCCGGGTTGTTTCCGGATCTCCTCCATGAGCAGGTTCAGCGGTGCAGGTTCCCGCACAGCTAGCAGCAGCTGCCAAACAGCAGAGACCGACAAAGATCGCTCCTCCAGTGCTGCCGACACGAGGGAGGCAAAACCGCTGGCCTCACGCTTCATAACCTGCTCCATCACCTTGGAAAGACCCACAGTGAGGCACTAACAAGGGACCCCCATCCACCTGCCCTGTGTCACGCTTAGATGTGACTGTGGCTCACCCCAGACCTTGCTCCCACCCTGCTGAAGACCTGACTTAAGGTGCAACTCAAGTGGTGACCACTCGGAAGCCCAGCTCTTCACCCAAACACATGAGCCATTTCCTCAGCTCTCTGAAGCTGAGCATCTCTCCTCAGTGCCCAAATCAGCCACTTTTACTTGCCAGCCTTCAGCTTCATATACGTTACCTACCTCACTCCCACTATGGGATATTAAGGAATCATTAAACTGAGTCCTAAAAAAAAAACAAAGCCACAACAGGTAGTAAAATCAAGTCCTCGGGACTTGATAGGGATCCCAGATGGGGACTAAAGCTCAGTATCTGCTTGCACACATGCAGGAGACTGCTTACCTCTCTCTCAGCAGGAGCCAGGCTCTGTGCAGCAGAGATGCCCTGCAGCAGCTTCTGAGTATCTGTGAGGAGCTCCACTAAGTTTTCTCGGTACCGTCTCAACAGTTTGGCTCCGTAATCCTCTGGGGTCCATTTGGCTGAATGCAAGCGAATGAAAATAAGAACAGCTCAGTTTGCACCATTTTCCCAAAGGGCTTCAGAGCTAGGGAAGACCAAAAAAGCCAAGGCAGCCAGTTCTTCCTGGGTCACTAATGCTCAGCACACCTGGATTCACCCTGAAGCAGAGGATGAACATGACAAACTAAAACATCTCCAAATCAAAGCCAACACAGAATATCCTCTGCCCATACGTGCCTACAGAAACAGATCTCTGGCACCCAAATGCCTTCCACGTCTCAGTCCTGGTCTGAGCCCAGAAGAAGAAAGTCTCAGTTTTCTGCCATGTTCAGCAGGTAAAGATGTGGCCTTGTCTATGAAGACAACACCTCGAGCTGTTCATCAGCCTCTTCTGATGCCCTGGAATCAAGGAGACCACATTACTGACTCTTAACTGTAGTTTCATTGAAAGAGTTCTGTAAGTGACAGTCTTTGATCCACTCCACTGAGAAGGAGCTCTGCAACTTGCTCTGTCTCAGCAGGGTATGACTATCAAACATACTAACATTTTACAAACACCTAGATAGTCCAAGGTAATCAAGAACACAGCAGTCCGAGTTGTTCCTGGTGAAAATGTTAAGGGAACACAAACCAGACTTGTGATTGCAAAGCGTCAGTAACACCCTCTTCTCTCCCTGACACCAAAAAAATTGCAACTTTAATTCCATTTCTTCCTCCTCCCATATCTAATTCCAAGCTGGGTCTGCTGAGGTTTGCCCTGATGAATCTGAGAAACGATGACTCTAGAGTAACACCACAACTGTTTAAAGACACCCTAGCATCAGGACACAATGGACGAATTCCAGAAAGAGGAACAGTGTTTATTCAGGATTATGAAGAGACTTGGGCAAAATATACTGTGTACCAAAAGTAAATGATTGTACTCGTCGTCAGATTAGTTGATAAATAAAACCGGAAATTGCCAAATAGACAAACCTGAAAAGGATTTTTTTCACTGTTGGAGTTACTGAATTGGAGAAGATGCATAGTTATACTTTTGTAGGAGAAACCAAAACAAAAAACTGTAGTTCATCCCAGACATCTGTGAGTGTTTTGTTTGCATGCTTAGGTCTTTTCATCATTTTGGTTCAGTACCAAATAGAACAATCTATTATCCGCACAGTACTACCTGGGAGAAAGGCAGATAAACACACACAGCTGAGCGAAAAGAAAATACAGTCTCTGGGACTCAAAAGACATACAGTGCCGACTAAGAAGAGAAAGCTCTCCGGGATGGTGAAGGAGGCAATCGCAGGTTGTGAGAATAATCAACAGAAGATTTTGAGCTAATATGAAAAACTCCCTGGACAAAGACTACTTGGAGACATGAGTCTACTCCTCACCAAAGCTAAGGGAACCTCACTAAGCACTTGAGCTCCATAGGGTTTAGGTATGACTTGGATGTGCGTCACATGGATCAGAGGATGGTTTACAAATAAAAATACTTTCCCCCTTCTCCCATCAGAATGCTTCTGATTTTATTACACAAATTTGAATTGTTATGAATGCACCCTCAACTCTGCTGCTGTAGCAAGGTAAGCTCCATAACCAGAGCATGCCCTGCACCACCGTACAAGACATCCTCCTTTCTGTCAGCATGACAGCAAACGCTGCCATCAGTGGCTCAAATCATTCCCTCCTTCATTTCCACAATAAGAAATATTTGTGCTTCTGTTTGTTCAAGCTGCAATTTGAGGAGATTCAGCTCTATGTAATTAAGGAATGCTCCTCCTTGGAATGGGTATTACCACTAGATAATTAACCATGTTGGGAGTCTGGTGTTTCAAGAAAGCAATCGTGCTTAACAAATGACAAAGCAAACTGCCTGTCGGGAATGTTTGCTACAGAGAAAATTATCAGCATTATGAACAGAGTTTTGCTTTCTATTAAACACTCATTTACATTTCACTGCATGTTAATTTAGTTTTTAATTTTTATGCGACTTCAGAGCTGGTGAAATTTGTCTCTATCTGAATTTCTCAGGGTTGTGCCTAAGCCCACCCAGACTTGGAAGGGTGTCCCACCAGTCAAAAGATGAGGACTCACAAGTCCCTGAACGACCACAGGCAGGTACAAACAATAAAACTCCATCAAAACAAAAAGAAGGGGACTAGCCATCCAAGACAATGATGTCTAACAAGGACACTAAGTGTGGGACTCCCACCAGCACACTCTGCTCCATACAGGAGACCATGAGTCAGTGACCACAACGTGCAGAAATGCTACCTGGCTCCAGGACAGGAGCACAGCTCAACTAAATTTTCTGAGACACATGCTGCTGTTGTTCTTAAGTGACCCAAAACCCAAAAGTAATTTGACACTGGAGGGAAGACTTCTGCTGTTTTCCAGAGATAACATCCTAGCTTCTACCCTGTCAGTGCCAAACTCAAGGAAGGAGCCCAACAGGCTTCTGCCCCACACTGCTCATTTCATTGCAAAGCGGGGGCATTCTTTCTGGCATAGTCCTCCTACCCAGTGCTCCCAGACAATTTTTCTCTGAGTAAAATGGCCATCTCATTCCCCTACATGAAAGTAAGATTATAAGAGCATGCTGAAGTCCAGACAAGCATCCAGACTTCCTGGCAATTCCCTGAACTGAGCCCCCAGGCTCTGAAGTTTAGTATACCCATACCTTTGCCATCAGAGACATTTGCTGTTGCCACCAAGTTGTCTAGCAAAAGGTGGAGACCAGGGAACGATGCTTTCACAGCCCCCAGAAGTTTGACCAAACTTTCCACTTTCAGGGTTTTCTCTTCATCCACCTTCCTAAGCAGATTGTCCATGGCTTCCCTCTGAGAGCTGCCTTCACAGCAATCCAAAACTACCTGTGACAAAGAAACAGCCAAGAACCTGTTTGTGAGAGCTTCCTACAAACTCTTGGATCTGAACAGAGATCAGAGAAACAGGAACAGTATCACAGTATACAGTACTGCAGTAGATCCATTTCCACTGATTTGATTAACTGGGAGGTGTTATGGCGTGCTAGTTCCAGGAACATGTAAACACGTCCCAGGTACATCTGACATATGCCAACTCGAAAACTATCCTGGTGGGTTCTTCCACCAAGTCTAGCTTTTGGAAGCAGCTGACAAGAAAAAAAACCACATTTTTTCAAAAGAAACAAAAATAGACTTAAAGACAGGGTTCAAAACAATATTTCATTTAATATTTTTAGCAAATACTTTTAAAATTTGCAGTCTCTTTTCCCTTGTCTCCCCAATTTTTCTGCTTGTCATTGAAAGACAGAGATGGACAGAAAAAAAAAAGACTCTCATTATTTAAATAAGCATCCTATTAAGGGAATGATTATTTCTGATGAGGCCACACGAGACATCTCTATGTGAGATGCAACCACTGTAGCTTGGAAAAGCTCTAGTATGCCAGTATAATACCCACAAGGCTCCTATAAGGGAAAATCAGTTGACAAATACAGGTTGACCTCTCTGCCAACACTGTGTTCCTAAGCATTTGAAACGTAGGACTGACAGAAACTCTGTAGGTCACCAGCCCAGTTCCCTGCTGTCATAAGCACTACACTACGCAGTCCCATTAATAAAATTATTAAGATCTGTCCTAAAACTAGCTACATTTTTGCTCCCTTTCCCCTGGTTGGAAAGCTCTTCCACAGTCTCATTCCCCTGTTGATTCTTCTAATTTTCGGCTTAAATTTATTCATGGCGAGTGTATACCCATTTGTTCATGTGCCAACATTATCTTTTAGCTTAAAAATCCTTCTAAACTCTCTGAGGTGCTTACCCTACCTTCCTCTTCAATTTCTTTATAAGAGTACAATCATATTCCCTCTCAGTCTTTATTTCACTTGTCTAAATAAGGCAGCTCCTCTTGGAAAACAGCTTCTCCACAGCCTGATCTTACGACTGCAGATCTGTCTCTGCTTCAATACGAATTCACCTTTTTTGAACAAGACTGGAACTGTAAACAGAAATTCCAGGTGAGGTCTTAGTTCTCATTACTGCATCCAAATGGACACCCTTCACTTCATACTACCACATCATTCAGTTCTCACTACTTACTTCTCCAGCCATGTAATTCTTCTCCCTCTTACAGATCCTCCTCTGTGTGGACAAAAGATCCAAGTTTTGCTCATCAGCAAGTTTTGCTGAGCATGCTTTGGTATTTTTGTGTCAATAACATTAGTGTTAATATTAAGTAAGTGCCAAGAATCCCACTGGTAAACTTGCTCCAACCTGTCAGTCCTGCCTTCAGTAAAATCTGCAGTTATTTCCCAGTAAGATACATCCTTTTTTAATATCACCGCTTTCTCTAGTTTAACAATTTCCTAACATGAAATTCAAATGTTTCGCTCAAGTCTAGATCAAGGCAGAAAAAAACATTTTTAGTCTCATCAAATAAAGATTCCAGGTCAGGCAGAAACAATTTATTTCAACACTCTTTGCTGCATTTTATCTTTTTTTTCCTTACACACAGTGCTTCAGCTATGTGTGCCTTCCAGCCTGTCCCAAAACATATTCCTCTGCACCCACAGGGCTGACTGCCTAGATCACTGCTCCCCTCTTCCACACATCTGTCCTGGTCATCAGTTGTAGAGATCACTCTCAACTTGGAAAATACAGTAATAAACCTTGCTGTCACTCTCAGCCACGTGTGTCGGCTTTTCCAGTCTGCTGGGGGATGCCCTTTGAGTTGCGATTTCACTTCAGCTGCAGGAAATTTCTGTTTCTGTGCTTCTCCTGGATTGGTCCCCAGGCTCAGCTGTGAGTTTGCAGGTCATCTCCTCTCATTTTTCCTTCTCTTTACTTGCTCAGACAAATGTTTGTTGCTTGTCACAATACATACCATGATGCCCAGCAGCCTGATGTGCCACAAGCCCTTCTTCATACCACTAAAGTACATTTCCTTGCCTGTCGGACATTTCAGTCGTTCCTTGCAGGTCCTAATTCTCTTCCTCAAGTTATTAATTCACTCAGGTCTGTAACCTCTCATACAAAATCTCCTCTCTCTCAGGATGCAAACTTCAGACAGTTGTCCTACCTTTAACATAAAAGAAACTAATCCAACAGCTCCTCCTGCACTCTTACAAGCAGTTAATCTCACTAATTAGTTTCTCTCATTTCTAAAGATCTGTCCTTTTATAGCCAAAACTCTGTTAGTGACCCTGTTGACATATCCTCCCATCTAATTCACACTGCGCCGACTCTGGATTGCTCAATCTGAAGTCCTCTTTTAAGAGGATACAAAAGGGGGTACAAGAGCACCATCCTTTTGGGGACCTCACGCCATAATCTACCACTGCTCCCAGGCAAGAGTCGACAGGCACAGAAGCAATGTCCCTGGCAGTGGGAGATGCAGTGCTGACATTTTGAGACTCATTTTGACAGCACCAGGCGAGACAGTCAGAAAACATCCCCCCAGTCTGCTTGCAGCAGGACTTCTCCATCCCCCAGCACTTCCAGTTAAGATCCCTCCTGCAACAGCCAGTAACCTTGCTTATGCTGTCCTAGCTCTGAAGCAGTTTGGTTTGAGCATCAAGCTGTGTAGGCACTGGAGCCAAAGCAGAGGGAAAGCACATAGCTCAGAATACCCAGTTCTCATCTAGAAGACAGCCTGGACAGAAGGAAAGGACAGATGTTTGTACCAACTACTCTGATGCTCCAGGTTCAAGGCTGTACTGTGGACTGGTTGCTCTGAACTCTGCAACGACCTACGCCATGGGACACCATGCATGACAGATCATCTGCTCTTCCTTTGTTTCTAACTTTATTTCTTCTAAGCGACAATCTACACCCAAGCCATCCCCCAAATCCTCCACCCTACCTTCCCACATTACAGAAACACTAATAAAGCCACAAAAGTTAAGCACTCAAAAAATAGAGATGCTAGGTAAAAAGTTCCCCCCCAAAAAAGAGAGATTTACAAAGAGGCTTCACAACACATCATGTACTGGTTTTCCAGCAAAGAAAATCAGACTTGCTCCATGCACAGCTCGGACCAGGAACAGAAAGAACCCAGTTGCCTAGAAAAAGGCTGTTAGCACAAAACCCGCACTTGTCTTGCTGAATAAACGTGTAGCTAATGAGGCAGTGACTGTGAGAAGAAAAAGGGAAGCCTCATCTTTATGAACCCTTGGAGAATGAGATCCTATCTCTGCCAGCCCAGAGCTCTAGTGTAATGCTGGATGAATCAGGTAAGATGAAACCTTCAGAGGTGGCTGCTAATTCCATGTTCATTTTCCCAGTACTGCACCCGAGATGCCAGAGATTTCAACTGCTCATATGCCACAGGCCCACTGTTTTAATCAATTTAACTTCTGAAATAATTAAGCAGTTTTCCACTTGTTTGGGGCAGGAGTGAAAACAAACAAATAAACCAAGCCTGAAAAAAGGGAATGCCCCAATGTCAATCTACACATGCCAATTTCTGCCTTATTTTCCTGTGCCACAGCAGGGAAAAATCTATACATCCAGCCTCACTGGAGTGGTCTCCAAATACATTTGTTATTTGCTGGGAACCTGTGGGCTAAAACAAGAGCATGAAGGGATCCCATAGAGAGAAGAAGGATTTTGTATTCGGAGTAGGGTTTGGAAGCTCTGCAGCAAGCAGAGCATACAGTGACTGAAGAGGACAAAAAGAAATACTGAATAACACTACCCCTTCAACAAAAAAGGGTGTAGCCTATGATAATGCAATTAAAAGCTGTATCCTGTGCCCAAGGAGCAAAATTATGATGGCAGAATGGTTTTGGTTTATTGTTGGGTTTTTGGTGGTTTTTTTTTTTTTTAGTTTTTTTTTGGGGGGGTTAGGGTTTTTTGTTTGTTTTTTTCCAATGGGAAGGGAGATAAAAAATGGCTGCATTGTAACTACCTATTGTCATGAAGACAAAAAGAAGAGTGCACGGAAAAGGGGCAGCCTTTAAAAGAAAGGCCGCACTGCAACATGAACAGGCATATATGAAAAATCCTAATCTCCCCACCGCTGATGCAGCTTTCACGGCTAGGAGCTCAGCTCCAGGCATCCCCACGCAGGTCTCTGCCGACAGCCACAACACCCCCAGCAGATGCAGAGTCCTCTGCTGCATTCATGCCTCGTTCTCTCCTCTCACATCCTCATTCCAGGCTCAGCCATGCTGCTTTGGGAGGGGAAAATTCATCAGTCGCCAGTCACACCCTAGCCCACAAGGACAAGGCGGATGCCTCTGTTGGCAGCACCTTCTTTGCCCCTCCTGCACCAATCTGTGTCCATACTGAAAAATGCTCTGTGCTGGGCACTTGGTGAGGGACGACGTGCAAGTGAGTAAGACATTAACCGAGGGACTTACGAGACGGGCAGAGGTTCTCGGCCCACCTATCGTGGCTCTGGTCAGGCTCATTCAGACAGAAAGCAGACATCATTCATGTCACTGAGCACAACAGTGCTTTTCACTTGCTATAATCCTGTGTCAGGGGAACAAACTGATGTGACAAACTAGGACAGGAGGTCTGCAAACTGAGTCCTGAACGCAGCATGCTAGGGCACCCTGCAAGTTTCAGCTGCACAGGCAGGATATAGCCAGCTCCCCCCTAGCACAAAGGAAAGCAGGTTATACACAGTATTTTGTCCTTTATGGCTTCTGCAAATCAGCATACATAATGCAATTGCTTACAGGAAAGCATCAGTCCTCCCCACCAACTGCTGCATTCAACACAAAAAAAAAAAATATTCAGTCAGCGGATGTGCTACTCCTGCAGGCAACTGTGTGATAAGAGTTAAAGAAGAGTTAAAGCTGGGAGAGACAGCTGAAGGGTAAAGCTGATGATCACATACACAAGGACATAGTTGGCACGCAGGCAGCACAGAGGTACTAGTGGTTCTGCTAAAACCAAACTCCACTACAGAGCCTTCTCCAGGCTCACAAGAAGGCATTTTCAGGGCCTACAAGGAGTACCAGGCATCTCCTCTGCCCCAGGCCCGCTTGCAGGTGCGGACTGACACCGCACCAGGCAGTGCTCATCCTGGTCTCGAGGTTGCCTTCACAGCTCAGCTTCCACTGCTCCCACAGTCGGCACAGAAGGACCGGAGACAACACACATGTGCAGTCTCTGCTGTGCAGAAGGGAGGTGAAATTGCCAGGTGAGGCTAGCACATCACTTGGCAACCATGTGGTAAGATGTTGCCTTGCAAACACGCACACACCCCTCCTCACCCACAGTTTTCCTTATTTCAGATTTTTTTACCCGCTTCTCCGAGGCGGTCAGGAATCCCTCTTCTGCTGTCTCCAAGAACTCAACAATGGGGCTCAGCTGTGTTACGCTCTGGATCAGCTCCTCCCTGCATCCCAGCAAGCGAGCGGTCAGCGTCTCTCCCTCGTCTGTGCTCTCTGGGGGGAAAAGGATTCAGAAACACAAGATAAGAAACAAGTCAGTTTGAAGGAACTGACAGGCTCCTGAAGCGAGTGAGACTCTGAAAGATCTAAGTGAATAGCAAAGCTCATCCTAAGCACAAGCAGCAGAGGAAAACCACTTTACTATTCTCTTTAAACTCTGTGAAAGGAAAACGTCTCATTTATCTAACGGAGCACAAAGCCATAAAGCAAGCTGGAGGTTAACACCAGGTTTGCAAGGCCACTGCTTTGTGTCAGACTCAAGTAAGAAAGGAGCTTTCAATGCTGAGGCTCAGCTGTGCTCTGACTCATGCTGGCTGCGCAGCCATCGATCCAACCCTCCAGGCAGCGATGGGGAGAGGCCTGCGCTGCCTACACCCCGCTGCTGCAGCACCGAAACACTCCAGGATCTTGGCCCGCACGTAATAAACCTCCTGCATCCGAGTAAGGACACAGGGTTTCTGGAGACCTGCTTTGCCTGCCAGGTTGCCCACTCACTTTGCCAGAGGCTGCACCCAATTCTCTACCTGTTTGCTGCAGGGCTTCTCCGCTGCCCTGTTCCCTCTCCAGCAAAGCCGCCCTCAGCTTGGGATTCACATTTTGAAACAGCTTCAGTAAAGCCAGGAGGGTCTGTGCATCCAGGGTCTGAGCATCCTTCACTTTGCTCAGCAGCTTCTTGAACACCGACTGTTCCCCTGCCTCCTCCAGACAGGCAACCAGAGCCTGCAACAGGACAAACGCAGGGAAGGTTTTAATAACAGAGTCAACTTCCCTA